TGACGATAACATCTTGACCTCCCCTGAGAACCGACCTCCGCTGCCCTTGTAGCAGCTGCATGCGCCGGTGCTGATTCTTTCGACATTTTTTATATTACTACTTTTCTAACATTTCAAGATAAACCTACTGCTTTCCTAGCACTTCTCTTCACTATGCATTACCTTGTGTATGAAACTTCATTGCATAATGATGACATCCTGACCTCCCGGAGACCACGAATTATTCGAACACGAAATTAAATAGTATATTTAACCAATTGAATCTTAATTTACAAAAATTCAAAATAATAATTAAAAATAAAAAACAACTAAAATTCAACAAAACATTCTCATATGAAAAAAATTTCAAAAACAACATTCAACAATTATTAAGAACAATTTTTTTTTAAAAAAATAATGCAAAACAATGTCAAGGAAATAATTGAAAAATTCTAACCTTAATTTTGTTGTGAATTTCAGCCGGGAAGAGAAAAGAATAAAAAAAAGAAAAGATAAGATAAGATAAGAGGAGAAAATAAAAAGAGAAAAGAAGGACATACTTGGCACACATGGAGGAGAAAAGAAGAGAAAAGAACTCTAGGAGGTGGGAAGGAGAGAAAGGAGAGAAATAAAGAGAAAGAGATGCAAAGGACGAGAGAAACGTGTCTGTGATGATTTTAGGGATTCTGGTCTTTTAATTTGAAGTTTTTTACCAATGATTTTACTGATGACTTATCGACAAAACATTAAATGTTAATATTTTCATATGTGTTTCCATCTTTAATATTTAATCAACAAATTTCAATCCCCCCTCCCCTCAAATACCACTAACGATATTTCATTTCATTGGTGAGTATGTATGTAATGAATAATAATTAAAAGTGACATTGAAAAGTAAACAATTTCATTGCTTTTTGGAATATACTTGAACATAATGAACAATATCATGGAGATGTAAGTAATTCCGATGCTCTCTGAAATATACTGATAACTACAATTTATTGGTAATCCCATATGTATACTCAAATAATTACCGATCACTTTTCTATTGAAAAATTAAATATTAATATTTTTAATTTTTCTATTGGTGTCTTTGTCTGTAAAGTCTAATTGAAATTTTCAGAAACCTGCCAAATATTACTGGACTTTCTATTGGTGATAACCTATGTATTGAATACTATAAAGGAGAAAGGAAATTTCAATTCCCTCTAGAATATACTAACGGACTTAATATATTCGTGATACCCTCTATATTGAACACAATGAACAATGATTGAAAGAAGGAAACAGTTCTAATGCTTTCTGAAATATATTGACAGACTTAATTCGTCAGTGATATCCTATATCTTGAATACAATAAACAATGCAATTGAAAGATTAAGAGTTCCATTGCTCTCTAAAACATACCGACGAACTTAATTTGTCTGTAATACCCTTTGTATTTTACTTTTCATTAGTGTAAAATAGCTTTTATTGCTATATTATCATAAATTAAATATCATAAATGGATTTAAATGATAATTATGTCTATAAAAATGACATGTCATCGTAACTACCTCAGTATATACCAAGTGGATATTTCAATATATATTTCTGCTGATATTTATCGATTAATACTTTCAATTGAAAAAATTCACCGCAATCTACTAAAAAAAAATCATCATGGTTTCTGTTTGTATATGTTAATTTTTTGATAGTGAATAATAATCATTTCTCTTGGGTTGAATTTGATAATTAAATTTAGCTATCATTAAAAAAGTTAAGATCTTATTGTATTAAGTATTCTATTCCAAATTTAATAATTACTAATTTATTTTTATACCCTTTTATTTGCAACTTATCTTTTGAACTTTATCGGGTGGAGACTTTAGAATTTACACTAGATGGTTATGTCGTACCCGGATATTGCAACACCCTTAAAAATCTTATTTCATGGAAAGAATGGATTTATGGTATCCTATTCTTTGATGGGGAATGGTCTTGTTTAAGGAATCTCCACCTAGTATTATGGTCATTAAAAACCCTGACTTGTCAGTAAAGATTCTATAGTATGGAACTGGTTATGTAAAAGGAAAGACATTATCACCCCTTAAACGTCCTACTTGAGGCAAGCTACATTGCTAGTTTTGTCATAAATTGCTAACATTTTGTCGGTTTATGTTATGATGGTCTGTATGTAATATTCTTGACTCTAGCGTTAGTAAATATTCAACTACAAATACTTCTAACTCTAGCGTTGATAAATATTATGTAGCTATAAAAATAAAATAAATTTTAATTGATATTTTTTATTCCTGACTCTAACATCAATGAATAAACAAATAAAAATAAATTTATTTTTTATGCATACACATATTTTTTATTTTTATATAGCTAAATAAAATTAAAAAAATTAAATCATTATTTTTATTCTTGACTCTAATATTAGTAAATAAATCAATAAAATAAATTTACATTTTTTTATGCATGCATATATTTTTTATTTTTTATTTATTTATTTTATTTTATTGGGTTGTGCCTAGCTCAACCCGTAAGGGCTGCGCTAGACCTAGTCAGTGGCCCTGCTAGATAAAGCAACATGTGTCTGCTAATTCACATGTGTTGCTCACTATTCAAGTGAATTAAAATTCACTTGAACAGTGCAATCTGTTAATTATTTGGAGGATGAAGCAATGCAGGAGGAAAAAGGTTGCTTACTTGATTTGCTAGAGACGATGAAGATGACAACAAAGTTGATGTTGGTCTTTGTGTTTTTTTCTTGCGTTTTTCCTTTTACTTTCCTTGTCTTTTTTTCTGAGTTTATTCCTCTATTTCCTACCCCCCCCCACCCGAATTCTCTCTGTTTTTGGTCTCTCTCTCACTATAAGTCCTCCTGTTTGTCGTCTCCTCTCTTTATGTTCACTGTTTTTGTTTTCTTAGCAGCTTTTTAGATGATGAAAGAGCTAATGTGATGATGAATATATCGAATTTCTATGAATTTGTTTTGATTGATTTTGGGTCTTTCTTTGTTTGCAGGGATGAAGGCAATGGCAGAGCCAATACTCGTCTCTGTGTTGCTTCATTACTTTTCTTTCCTTCTTTTCTTTGTATATTTGCTTTTCTTTTGCTTTTTTTTTTTTGTGCTCCCCTGGTTCTGTCTCTGGTTTTCTTATGATTTTTCTCCAGTTCCAATCATCTTTTTTTTTTTTTTTGCATCTGTCTTTTTTTTTCCTCCCCTTCTACTTTGCCTTTTACAGAGCCAAAGAGTTTGCCAAAACTAGTCCTTATTACAGTCCTGCATTTACAAGACTATTAATCAATCCACAAGCGGGATCGTGGCTAGAGGTGAGCATTTTCGATTCGGTCTGATTTTCACCCAAAAAATAACCTAACCAATTTATTTATTCATTTTTAAATCATAACCAAAACCGAACCTAAACCAGTTCAAACCGATCAATTTTAGTTCGATTCGGTTAATTGACAGGAAAAATCAGAAAAAATTGATTTCATCTTGGCCAGGCATATCGAGCAGGTTTTCTGAAATTAAAAATAAAAAAGCTAGAAAGAACAAAAGTCAAATGAAAATTTGGAAAAAATAATTCTCACAACATCTATTACAATAATAGCAACATGAGCATACTATGGCAAATCAATAACCTTGTAAATAAATATAAAAAATAAATACAAATAAATACATAATAGATCTACAAAAATTAGAAAAAAAGTAAGAAGGGACAAAAAAATTGAGAGATAAAGATTGACAAGAGGGAGGGCTCTAGAGCTGTAGTTTGGTTGTTAATCCATGAGCTTAGTGGGCTATGCTTAAAGAAAAGGACAAAAAGATTGAGAGATAAGAGATATTGATGGTTGTTCTCTAGATCTACTTTGAGAGAGGGAGGGGTTATGTTTAAAGCCTTAAAGAAAGGTAGAGAGAGATGAAAATGTTGAGGAGCCTGAGGGTGCTGTGAGAAAGGTTGAGAGATGAGAGATGAAGATGGGGGGCTATAAGAACGGTTGAGAGATGTGACAAAGGTTGAGAGATGAAGATGGGAGGGGGGCTATCCTAAGAGATGAAGATTGGGAAACATGAGCGAGAAATGTTGAGAGTAAAGATAGGGGTCGGGGCTGTGTTGAGAGATAAAGATTATGAATTATGGGTGGCGGCTAGAGTTTAGAAAGGAGATGGTGAAAGCTGGAAAGGTAGGTATTTATAGTATTATTGATTTTTTTATTTGAACCGGTTCGGTTCGGTTTATTCAGTTTTAGCCTTTTAAAACCAAAACCAAATCGAACCAGCTTGTTTTTTAAGTTTTTTAATTGGTTTAATCAGTTTTGTTATAATTCAGTTTTTTCAATTATTTTTTTTGGATTTTCTCAATTTAATCAACTTTTTAGTTTTTTTACTATCCTGTAATTGTGGCCAAAGATATTTTCCATGATTGGATCAAATTGCTGCAGTTTTCCTGTTGAATAGGCTTTTTTTGCATGAAATGAAAAGAATAATGAATAGCTCTTCAAAACAACGCCATCTGTATCCTTAGAAATGACTATTTTCACTTTGGTTTTGAACTTCTGACATTTATCATTTAGGTCACCAATTTCATTTATTAAATATTTTCAAGTTCAATTTCTAAATTATGCTGTCTTAACTCAAATTTCAATTTATTCCTCATTTTTATAATTTAAAAATTAGGTTATAACTGTCTATGTATATAACAAGTGAGGAGAACAAGAAAACGAAGTCAGAAAAATATGTGATTTCTCAGTTAATTTGTATGTCTCTTTAATAGGTTCTACGTATCTATAATATCTCAAAATCATATTCTCCAATAGAAAGGAACTAGTTTTAGTATTATCTTTCTCTCAGAAGATCTTAAATTCGATTTTTGATCTGCTTCTGTCCGAACAATGGTGGAACTAGGGGGCAGGCGAGAGCCACGACCCACTCAAAGAGTTCAAATTAGTTCCCGAACTTTAATACTTATTTCATAGAAGTTTTGCTCTTTTTTTTTTTTATTGTTTCTTGGGGCACAGTGGGCAATTCTCCCTTGATAACCACTGTAATACATGAACATCCAAAGTTAAGTCCACCTGCTAACCATTTGATCAATCACTGTTTCACTGAAATCCTTTCACCGTGGCCTGGATGCCTCTTTGCTTGATTTTCCTTTAGGTTCCATCACAGAAAAATTTCAGCATAGCATAACATAACGTCGAAGCAGAAAACCTAAAGAAAATACAGCAGAATATGTGTGTGTGTAGACATCCCGTCACATCTAAATAAAATATAATATAAAATTACCATGGCTAAAGGAGCCAGTCAAGAATATTGTAATGAACCATAGTGAATTTACATCATTTCAGCGCAAATTATCAATATTTATGAGCGAAACTTAAGGAGATGATTGCTAGTTCAGCCAATAGCATACATCTTAGTCCATTTTCTTGCTTTCTTGTTGTAAGCCTCTCTGTTAGTCCTGTAAAGTTTGCAAACAGGACTTGTTGGATCTTCAGGGTTTGGATCTGGAAGCAATGAGCAAATGGAGAGCAACAGATTCTCAATGGTCAGTGCAGGGGTCCATTGGGATCCAAGAATGTCCACACATACAGTTCCATCTTGACTGATGTTTGGATGAAATACCTGGGCATGGCATTTAAAGAGTATCAAATCCTTGTACATAACTCTGCGACTCCAAAATGTTCAAGTATGAATTTTGGAAATCTTCCCACAAGCCCCTTTTGGCCACCACACGTGAATTTCTCAATCAAAGCAGGTTAAAACTATTAGGCCGTATGGACGTGATTGATAGAGCAGTAAATGAGGAGGCTATACCTTAGTTTTCAACTTGATCCTGGGAGGGACAAAAGGGTATTCTGCAGTAAAGTCGATAGAAAGAAAGAAGACACCATGTTCGAATGGTGTATCAGAAGGTCCTATAATGGCTCCTTCCCATTGGAATATGTTGTCTCCAATAGGTCCATACGAGCAATTGATGGGAGGGTCCTTTAATCCACGTTTTAGCTCCTTTTCAATCCTGCACTGTGCATAGTCAGGATTTTTCCTGCTGTCAGCTTTATCTGATACAGGTTTGTGTTTCCCTCGAATAGCAGGGAGTGGAGGTGATAGTTTGGTTTTCGAAGTAGAGTGGGGAAAAGACAGGTACGAAAAATTCTTCATTTTGAGAAGGAGAGTGTTGGAAGAGAGCGAGACAGGTAAAACAACCGAGCCTATGAAAGATAAGAAGATCATTGACAGACGAATGCATGGAGTCTATATAACTTGGAAAACTGTGGACAATTCCGAGTCAGGGACTAGAGAAGTTCGGCAAGTGAAAGCTCATGGGCTAAAGGACCTTGACAGCATGGTTGGACTATTTTGTTGTTACTTGAACATAGCAGTTGAGTGTAGTGGCACTGAGGACATGTTGGAGGGAAGTGCCTTTTAGACTTCTTAGGGCAGCTATGAAAATCATTCTGAGATTAGGTCCAAAATTATTTCAAACTTGAATGATATATCTCCTTCGATAATTCCCATTTTCTCACTAATCCTTGATGAGCAGGCTGCAGATACAAATCTTTGAGGTTGGGGTTTTCTTGCTGGTACAGATTTAAAAGGTGCATCCTGTCAGCACAAATCCCCATTTTCTATCAATTTGCCTAAATTAAAGTGATTGTAAAAGTTTTACAGGACAAATCAAAGTGATTTTCAAGTTTCAATCAGCCCTTGATATTTATTCATGCAGTGCGGTGTTTGATTTATCAATATATATATTATAGTTTTTTTCAAACTATAACAGCAAAAACAAAATGCTATCACCCTACTAAACACATAATTATTTCAAAACATGATGGCAAAAACAAAACCTTATCATAATACCAAGGAGACAATTGCTGCTTGTGCCTGCGGACTTGATAAATCACATGTCGGTATGTTACTAGTAAGCATCTACATGAACAAATAGACAGTTGGCCAACACTAGGAAACAGGGATTAACACAAAATGAGCACAGACCATAGCCCATAGGCAGTTCTTCAAGCTTTTTATAGGTCACGACTTCACAGTATCTGTCCTAAGCTAAAAGTCTACTGTTTCTTCTCTATCTTTTGAAAAAGAAAAACAGTACGTTATTCTATCAAGTCTTAATCAACCAGTAGAGGTATGCTGCCCAGTTGCCTCCTCCATTGTACATCCATGATGTGTGGTCCTCAGTGGCAGACAGCACCGAGTTACAGAAGTTCACATTTCATTTCATAGGGCAAAAGAAGGAAAAGGTACTGCTATGCAAGATTAGCAAGCTTATGTCTTGCCCTAAAAGGGCTATCTTGAATCAGACGTCGAAGATCATGAGTACAACTTGCTATAGGTTTACAGTACAGCAACCTGCAGATATTAATGGGAGCCAACGAACTTAAATAAGACAGATAAGATGGATGTAGAGTTACACCGTTTTGACCTCCAAATTATAAAAGAGCAAATATGAGACCACTCGAGATTTTTATATTATTGGATTTCTAAATTTTAAGCCATATAATCTAATAATTATATACAAAAATACAGTTTTAAAAGAACATTATAAAAACATTTTCTCAAAATAGATTAAAACTAAAAGTAAAAATAATTATTTATAAATTTATAATTATCTATTTAAGATACACAAATAAAAAAAAAATACAAGTTTCTGTAATAATAATTACAAGAAAAAAATAAACAAGAGGAATATCTTATCAAGATATGGAACCTCTTGGATTACATCTAGGCTTGGATGAAATTATGAACATCTGTCGTATAAAAAGATTACATGGTAACTAATGCCATAGTTTTTCCCTGTGCAGATTTATTCGTGTTCCTGTTCTGTCAACTGCAGTAGTTTTGGAATGTGACATTCAGTCCAGATTCTTGCAGCAGGCATTTAAGCGATGCGACCTGGCCATCTGCCTGGAACACACTTTGTTTCTCCCTGTTTAACTCCCATTGGACAGATTCTCAAAAAGAGTTCCACTGGACAAAAATGGCAGCCCCCTCTACCTAGAGTTGGAAACGCAGTCCTTTAATGCAACAGAGCTACAAGTGCTGCTGAAGTTGACTCAAGGCAAGATGCGAAAAGATGGCCCACTAGATGAAATTGACAGCAATGCTCGATATTTCCACCGACAAATTTATTCGAGTTATAGCATTAAGCTGGATAAAATTGAACATGAACTAGAGCTCACCACATACTTCCCAGCTTGAACGAAGCTAAAGCTACATGGCAGAAATTCGCAGTCAATAGTGAAAATACAGAGTTACAAGGCAGAAACTCGCAGTCAATAGTGAAATACAGCGGTCAAGGGATATGCATGATTCTAGAATGGAGTGCAGTAGTAAATGTATTAGCTCTACAACCTATGTAGGCAACACTTCACTGTCACATTTATGATCACATTTTGTGCAGTCAAGAAGAGATGCGAGCCATTTTTATTAGGCATGTAAATCACACACTTCGAAAGCTGACGAAAGAGATTAGCCATAATCCACTAGAAGCCATATTTCGTAAAATTATCAGACTATTTCCACTCAACATCACCCTCACATTTCACTGAATAATTAGAGTAATGAATCGTACATTCATAAAATATTAATCCAGGAAATGCAATTAGAGCATAGGTTGACATGAAGCCGCAGTGTTCAACAAATGCGTCAAAATTTCTCCTGACTACAAAACTGTCAGAAGTTGGATTAAGTTTTTGCTCCGCCCTACATTGTGACTAACACCATCTTCCATAGCAAGCTGGCTTCGAAAAACAAAAAGGAACGAGTTCTAGGACAATTAACAAAACTAAGGTAAAATTATCATATGTAGTCATACCATAAAGAAGTAAACCTACATGATCAAAAGAGTAAATCCTACTTCATGGTAGAGAACGTCAATGTTTGTCGCCATGTATGTTTTCTTCCAGAGTCTGTACAGTAGTCTCCGAGTTTTCAGTGGCTGACTTGCCAGGCTTTTCAACCCCCTCATCTTTAACATTTTCTTCCCTCTTAAATAGTAGCTTAAAAGGTGTCACCTCAGCTGAAGTCTCAACGTCCATGTCTCCAGAATCAGCACCCAATCCCTCAAGTGGAGATGCTTCCATGTCCAAATCCTTCTCCGCAGTTTTATCATCTTCAGAATCACTTTCACCAGAACTACTATCATTTCGAGGAGAGCCCCCTCCAGTTTCTCCAGTACTAACATTCACTTCCACCATCTCAGTATCTTTACCTGGTAACCACTGCTGCAGTGGAACCGCATCACGAATAACTTTCCCCGTTCTCAATCTCTCCCGATAACCCTCCATTTCTATTTTGTATCTTTCTTTATCTTTAAGAGCTTTATCCTGATAAACCTGGTCAGCAGAGAAATCAATGAACTCAAAAGGTTAATCAGGAGAAATGGCACAAAGGAAATGGAATCAAACATAAGATGTAAAAATTTCCTACCGCTTTTTGGGAATCATTTATTTTGTTCCATAGCTCCCCAATCATCCTACTGATCTCTCTATCCTTCCCTGGGTAAAGTGGTTTGAGTCTCGCATGCTGCTCGGCAAAGAAGAAATTATAGCCACTTCTATTAGGTTTTGGATGAGCAGGGTCCCTTCTTTTTATCTCACTTTTCTTTCGGCGCCGGCGTCGTGTACCTGGTACAGCTTGTGTATTACCACTATTGTTCGCAGGCACGCTACGAGGCTGTGGCACTTGCCATGATTGGTTCTGTGGCGCCTGATAAAGAACACCTTTGAGTTTCTCTGAACCTACCATCACAGTAACGAGATACCCACTCTCGAATTTCCCATCAATTACCCCTATCACTGAAGTGCTTACAGATGATCCTGGCATTGCTACAGCAGTAAGAAAGACAACCGCACTTAGTTAGAAAATTCAACCAGCGACATGTCAGAAAATATCACTCAGAAATAGTTACATGTAAAAGAAAATAACAAGCAGGCAAAATCAGAATGCAAATGCATCTGAACCAAAATCTCAGAGTACAGCATGGACCGTTGGTTAAATTAGCATAGAAGACATGGAAAGAGAAACAATCAACAATCATAGGGAATTGTAAGAAACTAAACCTGGAGAGATCTAATGCATTGCTGCAACCTTCTCTTCTTCTTTTTTTCATTATGTTTTTTTACAGAAAATAACAGATTTATCAACCAAATTTTCCAAATCATTTTCCACCAGAAATAAAAAAGAAAGTATTACCCATGATAATAGTGAAGCATTCTGCATATTCAGAAAGCATCCGTTTTCAAAGCCTATTGAACATTCATTTTTTTATACATAGTATCCAATATATGGACAAATTTTTCAGCAGATCAGCAATTAAATTACAAGTGAGAAAATATTCCAATCATAGATAAACCTTTGAGAAAAATGACAGCGCAGCAGGTTTAAGACAGAAGAAAGACCTCTACACAGCTCTGGAATGTCTGCTGTTTGTTGTTTCACTGCAGCAGCTTGGTATTCTGGTGACGGCTGAACAGTCACTTGAGCTGGACATTGTGATATCGATGAACTCTGCAAAGGTACTGCAAAAAATTGTACTGTTTTGAAATATAAACAACCCAAATCAAGTTTTGAAACGGGGGTTTCTTCAGTGCACTGACCAGGAGAGGCAGGGCTCCAACTCCGTGCTTTGAAGTAGTAAAGTTGTTCATAATGTTGAAGCAAGGAACCATAGTACTTGCGCAGCACAAAAGATGCATTTGTGGCAGTAGATGGAAAGTTGAAAACACCAGTCACTTCTTTCCACCTTCTCTCTCTAATAATCTGCAAATCCATTATGCAAATCAATGTAACTGCACGACTGCATAGCTGTTGTTTTAGAAACAATTTACTCTTTCTTCATTAGAGATCATTATTCAATCTCAAGTAAATTTAATCCAGACTTCTTCCTACAAGCAATTAGATTCCACTTCGACATAAAGTAACATTTTGGACATAAGTTTTGAAATAGCCACAAATTGCATTGCAACAATCAGGGTTTCAGTTCGGTTCAGTGGGAGGGAGTTGAATAAGCCCTCTAACCATGTATCACCAGTTACACCTTATCAATGGCTGTATCTTGCAGAGAGTCAGAAGTCAATGTCAAAATCACTGAAGAACCAAGAGTAGATCCAGCTAAAATGGGCAAGTATATAACATCTTCATTATTCAATATTAACAGCTAATGGCTTGTGCAAAATCAGGTAATTAAAGGCATTATTTGAAAAACATTATGTGAGCACAACGCGCTGGAAACATATCATTTTGACATCGCAGCTGCAATAACCTTTTCTGAGAAACAGGAAGCAGTTTCAAGTATCCAAAGGAAGATGAAGCAATGATATCTATAGAAACATACATGCACAGATAAGCTTTTAGTTGTTTGGAAACTTAAGGAATATGGATTACAGATGATCCACATCAAAGCTTTATATGATGTCTGCAATAGGCCTTTTAGTTTCTTGACAGTTAAATAGTCTTTCAGGAAGCACGATCAAGTGCATGCCAGAATTTAACCTGAAGTCGTCCATTTACACAATTTATGAACAAAACTATCCAAGAAAAAAGAACCACACAACTAAAAGCAGTTTGATGCTACCTTCTCGATGCCTCCTCGATATGTTACCTCCACAAAAAGCCGATGCAAGTTCAGTTCCTTACCCCCTATTATAGGGATCCTGCAATCGAAATTCAAATTTATGAATGCAATGAAAGGACAGATCATGTCTTAGAAGCTATAATTTGTGTTCCCCTCCACTACTATAATAAATCAATTCTTCACCAGGAAACTCTAATTTAAAGCAACAACAGTTTGAAACTTCATAAACTCTCGGATCGAAAACACAATCACAATCATTTTTATAAACTTTCCTTGCTGGGTTAATTTAAGAGAGGAGTACATGCTTCGACTATTTGCAGTCAGTTTAAAAACATTGGGCCAGACTCAGGAAACCTTTTGTGCTTAACTTTGCTTTGCAACTTTAAAAATATCCAAAATCTACCAAAAACGAAAAGCTTTTACCAACATTTTTCTAATCATTAGAAATTAAATGTGCAATTAGCTCCTCTCCCTTGACCTTCCAATAACTTCTAGCAAATACTATATTATCTACAACTAACAATCAATAATGGAAAAAAAAAAATTATAATGAGTGACATGTGTAGATTAAACGACTTTATGAGTACAGTTGCTAACAAAAGTGACTTGCGATAGAGCTCGTAAACTACTGCCAAATATGGAGAAGTTGGCATAACGGCATAACATTTGCAGGTAGCATTGATATCATTATTGAAAAACTATTGTTGATAAAATTAAGGAACAGGATCGTGTAACATGAATACAAAGAGCAGAGAAAAAGAAATGATGGTGAGAGTACTAGCGCATACATTTGATCCTAGCAGCATAAACACGGCGTCCAAAATTACATACGGGAGACCATCAAAACGCAAAATCCATAAGTTGAAACAATGCTAATCACCAATGCGAAGAAGCTTACATGAACTTGGTTCCCATGGCAGCATGGAACTTCTCTAAAGTTTCCATAAAGAGTTTAGGACTAACTATAACATCCTCATATGTGGCCCCAGGTGCTGGATATTGAACATAGTTCATAACTGGTTCTTTCATAAGCGTTGGAATCTGCTTGGCACAAGAAGTCGATGCCATCGCCAACTCCATTTCAGTAACCCCACATCAGTTTGTCCTTCCCTATAAAACCATTAGAAATTGTCCTATTCATACACCTCACTACAGACAAGTTCAAGTAAAATATCTAACTATGAAAAGTGACTGCACAAAGAAGAAAGAGTTCAAAGAGATCAACAAACAAACAGAACTTGCAGGTGAAAGTAAAAGCATGCAGAAGATGGAATAAAAAGGAACTCATCAAGGATATTGCCAAAAAGCACAGCTTTATCCCGTGCAAAATCCAAAAGGTTAAACTTTAAAGAAAGGCCATGGTTTCAAGAGATGCTGAAAAACCCTTTTAAGGAAAAAATAAAGCAGAATTTATTAAACATTAAAATCAACAAGCAGATAGCAGTTGAGAATAGAATTTAAGAAACAATACCACAGTAATGAATCATAAGAAACTTAATTTGATGTTCATGAACAACAACCTCAGTTGATGCAATACAAAGCCCAAGGCAAGTGACAGGTACATTATGATAGCTGTCAAGGCCATGATGGATGTAACAAAAAGATCATCAAAGCTCAAATCTCAGATTTCAGACTTTTCAAAACGCTTACACAGAGACCAAAAAGGTGACACCCCTATAGGCTCTAGTAATAATAAATACACGCAGATACCAAAAAGTCTTAGCTTTTTCTCAGATGTACAGGCCTATAATGCTACCCAAGCAGCAGCTATTTCCTTGCCTGACATTCTAAAGATATGCTGGTCTGGTCGCTGGCATAAATGAATGTACATGAATATATATATATATATATGCATATCTTATTATGTTAGTACATGTAATGCTATCCTCTAGTTTCTTTTTGTTATCTGTTGCAGTTATCTGACACAGTGTTACAGAGCCAAGCCAAGGTGGGGTTCTGTGGGGTAGTTGTCTATCAATCAAAGAAAGCAAACCCAAGAAGGAACAAATCCCACCTTTGCTTAAAAGACCCATCTTTGAATTTCAAAATCAAGATTCAAGGACCAAAACTCAAAAACTCACTTGATTTCTTCTTTAATGGAGGACAAAAATATGCTTATATAGAAAAATTAAAATAGAAATAATATAATAATGAGTTTTTTTATTTGTTTTGGTGTTTAATTTAATGTGAATTAACAATGTATTTAATTACTTTTCATGGTTCATAGGCTATTGTGTTTGATATAGTAAAAGAATAGAAACCCAGATGCAGATAGCAGAAATTTTTAATATTGTATAAGCACAGGAGATTTTAAGGAAATAAAATAATAAAAAAGAAAACGACTTACCTACAGTGAGAGAGAGAGAGAGAGAGGGAGATGCAAAATGAAATAACAAAATAGGAGGAGGCCCTTTAACACTAAACCCTATTTAATTAACAAATATTAAAGAGAGATTATCATTGTATAAACTATGTTTATCTCTCTCTCTATCTATCTTGATTATTCTTGTATAGGGATAAGCATGGATGAAGATGAAAAACCCACCTCATATACCTATACGGTTTCCAGCCTTCATGTGTAAAATCAAGGGTGCCAGTGCGGTTTTCATGTCATAAAAATGATATACGGTGGGTGACCAAATCAAAGGAGCTAAAAATGGGTTTCAATAGTTATGGCAATATAGCTAGAGATCAAGTGCAAATTAAACATGTTTATCATTATTATTAGGGTTTGGATGCGTTTAAAGTGTCTTTTTTTTATTTATAAATTTATCAAAATAATTTTTTTTAAAATTTTTTTAAATTTATTATGATCAATAAATACTAAAAAAATATCAAATTTTAATGACAAATAAGTTGCCCCACAACTCTAAAGCAGTCCATTGGCAATGGTGGGGTGGTATGATAATGGAGGAGAAGTGAAAATGGTTTTTTTTTTTTTGGAAGAAGAAGAAGATTTCTTGAATTATTTAATGGAGGAGATGACAAAAATAAAACGTGCCCTATTGACTTCCCTTTTGAAACGGCAAGAAAATAAAATAAAATAAAATAAAAGGTCGAAAAGCACAAAGGGATAAGAGCCAACAAAGACCATCGAGGGGATGAGAAATGGGTGGCGAGACAATAGTAATTGAAGGCACAATCACTTTAGAACAAGTCATTAATCTCCTTATTTAGGTATATTTAATTCCTATTCTTAAGTCATCACCACCGACCTCGCCCAACAAATGTATTTGTAAGAGAGAGAATAAATGGCCTTGTTCTTGCCATGGAAGCCAAGGTGGTTGGTTGGCTTCTTAGGGTTTTAGTTATGGTAGTAATTGCACCGATGCTTCTCAAGTTATGTCCCATAACAAGAAGGTTGTTCATGGTAGGGTTTAGGAAGGTCTTTTTAGGTTGTAATAGATCATTGGATTGGGATGCGTTACGGATCTAATTAATTTTTTTAATGTAATAGATAATGTTTAAATATTCTGAATGTGTTTTTCAAAAAAAATAATTATAAATTTAAAATATAATATATATATATATATATTAAATATTGATATGGTAATATATTAAATGATAGTTTTTAAAAAGATATCGAAATAGTTATATATTAAATTGACTTAACTTAGAATATCAACTTATAATTATACGTTAAATTGATCTAATTTAGAATATCAACTCTATAACTTAAGTAATGAGTTCATGTAAAAAATAACTCATGATAAATTATATAAATTAATTTTTAGTCATCTCAATCTTAGAATAAAATTAAAAAAATAAACATGAATATATATGGCATGAGACAAATATATTATTAAGTTGACAAGTAAAACATTATATTAAATTAACAAGTGCTATTTTTTATAATATTAAGATGGTTATATAATAAATTCATCGTTAAATTTATAATTATATAAAAAATAAATAAATCAAACCAAATTAATGTTTAAATAAAAAATCAAAAATAAAAATCTTTGAATGTCTATGATATGGAACTGATATATTATTAAGTTGACAAACAAACCATTATGACATTAATTTTTGGTGAAGATGTGTACCAGAGAGGTAGGTGTGTAGGTTTGTTTGGAAGACTAATTGTGGTTGGAGTTTAAAATTTTTTTGTTTATAAATATATTAAAATAATATTTTTTTAAAATTTAATTTTTCAATTAGTATATCAAAATAATCAAAAAATATTCAAAAAATTAATTTTTAATAAAAAAATTTAAATTTTTTAAAAAAACGAGTTGGATCGCATTTCCAAACAATCCCTAATCATGGGCTTGGCTTCTCCTCCTCTTCCTCCTTGACCATTTGGGTCTTGCATGACATTATCATGTTTTTTTTAAATTTTTTAAATTAATTTTAATTTTTATATTTTAATTTTTTTAATGTATTGATATTAAAAATATTTTTTAAAAAATATATTATTTTAATGTATTTTTAAATAAAAAATACTATAAAAAAAATATTTACCACATTCTTAAACAATTTCATCATATTATGTTTTACTTTATTTGTTATTGTATTTTAACATGTTTTTTTTTTTTTGAGAGCTCTTTGTCTAATTCATTCTTTTCAATCTCAAACTAAACAAAATTAAATTGCATTAAAGAAATATACAAAATTATATATATAGAAAAGAAAAATTCATACAAGGCATAATACAATACACACACGATGGCGATGAAATTTGGGATTTTATATTTATAAGATCTCAAGAGCGATATATTTTGAATTTTTGTTTTTCTTTGGTGAATTAGAAGGTGTTGATTTTATAATATATAAAGATAATTTTCTAACACACGAAGCAACGTCACAATGTCATTATTATTAATGAGATAATTTAGACCTCCTAAAAAAATGAAGAAAAATATTACAAAAATTAAAAAGCCCAAATGTAGTGGAGAAAATCCAATAACAACCCACGACCCACATACCAAGCCCAAAATAATAGAGAAAGAGAGGATAACAGTCTTGAAATCACTATATATATATATATTTTTTTTTTTTATCTCGGAAAGATGTTTATTTATGTTGTTGTTTGGCTCGCGATCTCACTAAAAAAAAACATTCTAGCCTTTGAATTTAAATCATCTGATCACCCTGTGTATTATTTTTATTTAAAACATTATCATTTTATTTATTTTTAATTTATTAGTACATACCTAATTAGGATTAATCTGAGAGTTATAAATTAATCCGGTTAATAAAAAAAATTTAATATTGATCACTTTTCTATTTGCATTGTTAAAATACTTAATTAATGTTTGTTGTGTTCATCCACTTCAAAATGTATATACAACACATCTTATTCTCAAATTACATGGTTACCATGAAGAAACAAATTCTAATTAAAAGGTGTTGAATTGATTAAAATATAATGTTTCATTATGTAATAAAATTGAAGTTGTGTAAGATTTTTATTGGTGCTTATATTACATTACAATTATATATTTTGGATAATGTTTTATGTGTTTTTGAAGATGTATTCATTGTTTTACTATTTACACAAGTTTTTTATTATTATGATTGTAGGTTTAATATGAATAATTATTGATTTTACTGTTTTTAGTGTTATTGTTGTTGTTGTATGTTTAGATTGGCTAAAAAATTATAACAACTAGTCAAAATAATCGGTGAAAACATCAACACAATTATTAAAAAATAGCTTTATTCTATCAGCATTTTAATTGATAATTTCACATTTATTTCATTAGAAAGTTATGGAAGGTTTAGGAATGAAATCAATGACTAAAAATTCCGTCGAAAATTAATTCTTGATGAACTTGCTAACAAAAAATAAGCAATAAAATCTTGCCCAAGATGAACAACAGGTAGACAATAATTTTCCATTAGAAATTCTATGGGCAATTCAAATAGTAGTGGGATTTCTTCCTAAATGCTGGTAGAGTATTATTTTATCATCTACATTTTCAATTTTCTAGTAGTATTAAAGAAAGATTTTTTGCACCAAGAGAAGGGTAAAACACGCTTGGTTGAAAAATTATTAAATTGATTTTTTTTAATAATTTCTAATGTTTTTAATATATTAATATTAAAAATAAAAAATTATAAAAATTATTTTAATATATTTTTAAATAAAAATAAAATAATAAGCACCCAAAAAATTATTTTCCCTTTCCTGGAGGGAAAACTGGGCTTTTAATGAGTTAAATTTGTAGATGGGCTCTCTAATATTTTTTAAATATATTTCAGTCGCAGGATGAAGCTAAGCATGGAGAAAAATAGCAACATATTTCAAAGGCAAAGCCATTGTTTTGCCTCGTGTTCATAACAAATGTCATCCTACTTTCTATGTTTTAGATTGGTCAATTTACATCACAGTTGGTAAGTGTTGATTTGCACACCATAATCAGGAGTCACCCCTGTCAAAAGCCACAAGCTGCAAAGTTCCCTTTTTTTATTATTTATTACAAACCGTGATAATATTTACTCAAAAGATTGAGCTCAAAATTGATCTATAAAAAAACGAAGTGTTGCAGAGATTTTCGTTCCAAGTGGTACTTGCTACGTGCAAAGTTCAACCTCAAGAAGAAAGTTTGCATGTTCAAGTGGTACTGGAAGGCTAGATAGCTTCCCTAAACTGGGTTTCCAAGACAATGAGGATGGAAGTAGTACAGAAGGATGTAAATTTTATCGATACGAAGGCGGCTTTGGTTTTATGATTTGAGCAGAATGGATCCATGGAGCCAACCCAATCAGTTCGGCTTCTGAGGCTTTGTCATTGGTGTCTCGTTCGGATAGTAGCTCCTAGCAAGATAGTGACCAGTAGCGATATCTGCAGAATTTATCCATTGATCAACTTGAAAGGATAAAGAAGCACTATCTGAAAATCCATGATCAGCACGAATCGTCAGGCCATGAAAAGCCAATTTAAGTGCTCCTATGCACTCCCAAAGAAGCACTTCGCCACTGCCTTTTCTTCGACATGACCTGCAGAAAATGTTGCAGAAATAAGTTGCTGTACAAAGATC